TTCCTTCTCCATTCTGTTGTAATTGTTCTACGAAGCATCCCTTTCATTGTTGCCTTGATCTCTTGGTCAGGCATAATCTTGTCTTCGAACTGGGTTCTGTTCCTTTCTATCCAGATAACCCAGAAACCAATTGCTCTAACTCCCTGAGCAACATACCCCCAACCTTTCTTCAGTAGGCGATCCTCGGGGACACCTCCCAACAACACCTAGTCCCTGTCCCACTTGAACCCATCTCCAACATGATCTTCCCATTGCCTGGCCTACCAATCCCAGATCCTCCTCGAGGCTGGGCAATCTCACCAGATGTGGGTTGTCGATTCGAACATCCACCTGCACCTCTTGCACCGAGGGTCTACAACAGAAAAATTCCCACAAGAAATGAAAGTTGAAAAAAAACATTCCATAAAAAAAAAATCCTTCATATTTATAAATTATTATTCCAATGTTCGTCCAATTCTAAAATTTTCAATTTAATTTGATAAGTTCCCGTCTAAATATGAGCTTTCCCTTCCAACTACATCTATTTGTTAAGATGGAATGAAAGTCTGGACGAGTTTATGAAATGTTTTAATTAAACTTTCATTCTACTACAACAAATATCTTCTAATTTAGATTGGACTAACCTATTTATAATTGAAAATCCTTACTTAGAATGACAATCCAATTAAAATATTTCATGAACTCATCCAGACTTTCAATCCATCTTTAGAATGCAGTTCAAATAAGAAGGGAAACCCCATTCTTGGAAGGAAAGTTTTCAAGTAGGACGAAAAATTTTGAAATTGGAATGACATTTTTTAAGATGGAATGAAAATTTAAAATTTAGAATGTAATTTTACTCTAGAATTATTATTTAATTCTAGGAAATTTTTCTGTTATACCTTCAGACCATGGCTTATCAGCCAAACCGCTGAAGGGGTGGCCAGCAAGGATTCCAACCAGAGAAGAACTGCTGCTCTTGGGTGTGGGGGATCTGCTAATTGTAGCCAACATCTCTCCAGTGCAAATGTAATTTTAACTGTGCATTCTAGGTAAACCCTCGACCATCTTTCTATTGCTGTTGTCAGTGGAGTCCTTGTCGATGCCTGAAGTCTATAAGCTAGGTTCAGTGAGTACTCATCCAACTTAGCGTGCTCTCCCTTCCTGCCTCTCCCTCTCCATGCCCATTGATTGGGATCCGCTCTCAGATCCACTATAGGTTTTCCTTGATTCCATAACACCGCATCCCAGTTTCCTTCCTGATCCACTATCTCCCATACTCTGATCTCTGTCAATTTGCCTCTTGGTATAGTCAGGACATTTCCTTCCTCCTCATCCAGGGACAATTTCCCCTTCCCCTTCGGGTCCACTTCGGACCATACTTGGAACAGCCTTCCTTGATGAGGACATTGCTCCATGAACTTCACAAATTTTCTGTCCGACTGCCCTGTATCCATTTCACACCAGGTCCCTACAGAGTTGAATTGCAATGGAGACAAGATTGCCTTCCATTCCTCAGGGATTGCCTCTAGGATTGCAGACCTCCTTGAACATACATATTTACAGGGTAGCAGCTTTTCGTCCCGCTCTTCCACTGTACACCATATCCCTACCACCCCATTCCAGTTATCTCTTACTCGCACCACTCCTCGTTCCGTCCAAGCCCTTCCAAAGCTCCCAGACGCAGTGTTTGCCATCAACATCCTTCCCTGTGAGTCTCGGAGCCGAGGATTCTCAAAAATAATTTGCGACAACACTTCTTCCTTCGACTTTGGCTCCGACACCATATCCGGTTTGACTTTCTTCCAGGCCTGCAAGACTGCACTCCAAAACTCCGACTTTATATGCCTGTGTAAGTAGGACTCTATCCTCACGCAGACCCACACATCCTTCGGTCTAGACAAGCGCCATTCCTTCGCCAGGATTCTTTCTCCCAAGATGATCCAGTGTTTGTCCTGATCTGTGCAGATCGCCCGAACTACCCATCTTGCAAGCATAGCTACATTCTGCCTCCCTGGATCCACCAAACCGAGCCCTCCTTCCTGTTTAGGCGCACAGATCAAATCCCACGCTACCTTGGACATCACTCCTTCTTTCTCCTCCGCATGGGGACGCCACACGAATCTTGCCGCTTTCCTTTTAAGTATCATCTGAGTCTTTTTCCGGATTGGCCTCACATTACCGACATATGTCAACGTTCAATACCAGAGCACGTCCAAACAATGAGAGGTGGGGGGCCCGCCCCCAGGTCGACATCCTTTGCAGTACCCTCGCTTGCAAAATCTCCTCTTGTCGAAGTGCACATGAAGTGAGTACCACTTGAACCCCTAAGAACCTTTCAGAATCATTTTGTTGAATACGCTTCATCCCCCATTCCACCGTCGGTGTATACTTCTCCGGAAGAAAGAAGGCAGACTTGGACCAATTGATGGCCGCCTCCGAGAGCTCTTCGTATTCCTTCAGATACCTGCGCAGCGCCGTCATCGAAGCCACAGTGTTCTTTGTTACTGCAAACAAATCGTCCGCTAAGGCCTTGACCTTGCAGTTTTGGAGGTCCACCTGCAAACCAACTATCTGTGTCTGTGATCGGATATTATTCAGGGGGATCTTCAAATGAACCACAAACAGCAGGGGAGCGAGCGGACACCCCTGTCGCAGCGAGCGAGATAACTGAAAAGGGGCGGAGATGTGCCCATTCACCATTACCGACGCTGTGGAGAGTGAGTAGAGTGCCACTACCCAACTACAGAAGGACTCCCCGAAATTCATCCATCTTAGTGAGGTTAAGACGTACGACCAGTTTACCCGGTCGTACGCCTTTTCCATATCCAACAGAATGACGACCACATCTAGATCTTCCTCCCCTACCACTTCCAATGCTTCCACAACAGTCACTATGTTGTCATAAATTGATCTTCCTTGAACAAACGCTGCCTGATCATCTTCAACTAACGATGGGAGGTACTTCCATAACCTTCGCGCCAGAGTCTTTGCGAGAATTTTGTACGATACATTCAACAGGGATATCGGTCTCCAATTCCGAATTTCATTGGTGTCCCCTTTCTTGTATATAAGTGAGATGATGCCTCTGCACGCTGTAACCGGAAGCCTACCCCCTAATTGAATCTCGTTATACACTTCCACTAAATCTGCACCCACAAACTCCCAATGTTTTCGGTTTTCTACCGGGAGACCATCGCTTCCAGGTGTTTTTCCTTTGGCCATCGCTTTCACTGCACTCCATGCTTCTTCACACGTTATGGGTTTATCTAGGTCCAACCGAGCTTGAGTAGTCAACCTGACTGTTGTGCTATTCCAATGTGCTGAGTCATTTGCCAGGTCTGTGCTTGCACCTTCCCCGGGTCTCCTTGTTGTAAGGATATCCCAGTAATAAGCCATTGCGTATCTACATAAGTCAGCAGGTATGACTGCAAGCGGTTCCTCGCCCTCAAATGGGTGTTTAAGTTCTTTCATGACCGGCGCAGTTCTTGCTAGGGTGAGCTTTTGGAAAGTAGCTCTAGATATTCTATCATACACCTGTATCCCTTTTACTTTAAGTCTCTCCGCCCATTGGTCTGATTCTTCCTGCTGCAGCAAGTCCCAATCCGCCTGTCTGCAGGCCCTCTCCTTTCCCCACGTTAGCTTAGAAATCGGGTGCTGCTGCATCCGTTCTTCCGCCTCTCCTACTTTCTTCCGGCACTCCCTCTCCCTCTTGTTCCTATTTAAAGCCAATATTCGTGAAAAAACATTAAGAAAATTGAAAACAATCCGCACTCTCGCATCCCACCATTCTGCTAACGAGCTGAACTTTTCTTTCTGCCTTCCCCATGATACCCAAAATCCCTTCACCCAACTGTTCATCCCTTCATCCTTCAGATTAGAGACATTTAATTTAAAATATCCCTTCCCTCTTTCCTGGTTAATACCCAGATTAAATACCCCTACCACCGTTTTGTGGTCTGACATCGGACTCTCCATGGTATCGATCTTGATCGCCCCCTCTTTCACTTCCCCTCCCATCAGGAGATAGTTCAACCGTCTTCCCCTTCCCTTATGAGAGAACCACGTGAAACCCTTATCCCCCGGATGCATGTCCCTAAAAGGATCAGAAGGTCGAAGTCTAGCATCAGATCAACAAGTGAGAGTGTATCCTTACCGCATCCACTAGTATGCTGACTCTCCATTGTGTCTAACACCGTGTTGAGATCTCCCCTAATAACAATGTTATCTACTTTCGGTAGCGTTACTCTAAGTTCCTGAAAGAAGACTGACCGCTCCTTACGTTCTACCGGTGCATAAACCGAGACCACCGCCCAGGTCACATCCCCATTAGAGAGAACTACCCACGCCCACCTCCCCCATAGGTCGGCAAAGTAGTCCTCGATTAGCATCCCTAGATCCCTGTGGATCAGGATCCCCACCCCACCTTTCGTCCCCTTCGCGGCAGCCCAGATCTGGGGGCCATCCCACCATCTGCCAAGCTCCCCTATTTTCTCATTGCTTAGTTTCGTCTCCTGTAAACACGCTATCGAAATTCTGTTCTCGTGCATCCAGGCTTTAAGCCTCATCTTCTTGTGCCTTCCCGACGTATCTCCTAATCCTTGTAAATTCCAGGTGGCGGTTTTGATCTTAACCATTTACGACCCGGTTTCCCTGCTGTGACTGGATACCGGCTATGTTCCCTTCCCCATCCGTCCATTGTTGAGAGAGAGCCTGGTGGACAAACACGGAATCCAACTTTTTATCCTTCGGAAGACGGATTTTCACTTCCGAAATCGCATCTGCTGAAATCATTAGCGGAGAGATCATAAAACGCGCTAAGTCTTGTTTCTTTGCTTCCGTGAAAATGGACAGCGGGATCAATCTCATCCCCATACCCCCCAATTCCACCGATTTCGCATCCGTGAGTCTCGCGTCTACGATAGGGACAAATAACTTGATCCTACTGCCGGACGGACCAAACAAGATTCTCGACATAGGGATGTCCGGAATAAGTCTTACCGAAAAAGCATCCAAATACAGAGTGCTTAAGCATTCCATTATCGAAGAGATGGTCGGCATTTCAGCAGTTTGCTAACCGAAAATTAACAACGGCCCTGCGTTCCGTTGCCATGCTATCACCCAGGATGCTCCTCTTGCGAATGTACAAAGTAGCGGTACCAAATACTGCAGCATATCCGTACTAGCGGACTTGATTGTCGTGGTCAACCGTCTACCCCGTGTTGTCTTCTTGCCTGGGGTTACGAGACCCCCCTTATTGTTGACTGATGTCTCTGACTCCTCCTTCGAGATCCGAGATCCCCCTGACGGTTCTGACACCAAATCCTGTTGCGAAGTCATACTGAGCCGTCTCTGTTTGCCTGCTCCTCGACCTCTCGCTCTGCCTGGTGTGCTCTCCGAGCGCTGTTCCCCTCTTCCCCCCACTTTTCCATCACCTAACAACGACCCCCCGAACGGGCGCGAAGAGCTCGCACCTTGTCCCCCTTGCTGCAATCCAACCGCTCCTTGTTCGGAGGCTCCTTGCATTGCCGCCGCCATTGACTGATAGGCCTGGCCTGCTGGCCCTAGCCCCCCTTGACCGCCTTGAGTTCCGCTCCATCCAGCCCATGGTGCCGATGACACTCCATTCGCCAAAAGCCAATCCATGGGGGCTGGCCCCATTTGCCACCCTTGCTGCGTCATCCCAAGATTCTGATATGGGATTGGCTGATTCGGAGGGAACTTGAAACCTCCGGTGGAATCCAGTGGCCCCCTCCTGCTTCCCTTCCTCCCTCTCCCTGTGGGGAGAAGGCTGGATTGAGTCTCACGTTCGCTGCATGCCCAACCCCATCCGGTTGCCCGGGTATCTGCGACTTGGGCCCTAAGGTGCCTTGATAATGATGACCTTGGGTCGCTCCATTCACCGATGACGCTGCTCCCGCATGTTGATGCTGAGATTGCGAAGTGGCGCCTCCTGCTCCTGTATCCTGATTCCGCTCCCTTACACCCCTTCGACAATCTTGCTCTGAATGAAAAAACTGCCTACACTTGCTGCATTTCAATGTCCCCGCCGATGCCAAACGGATCTCCAACTCGTCTCCCTTGGATGTTTCCACCCAGATAACGTCCTTCATATTAGCCCTTGCCTCTAGATCGATATCGAAACGCGCATTAACCAAAGCCGGTCTGTCTGGATCAACATCGGTTGGATGAGCCCGAATAATCTTGCCAATCGCCTTTTTGATTTGAGCATAAATAAAGGGCATATCGTCGAGCGGAATCTGCAGAGCAATCACCCAAAAGGTGCTCTCTTCTTCACGCCTTCTCAACTCTTTGAACTCCGCCCTGGTCATCCAAGGCTTAAAGATAACCTTGTAAGGGATACCCCCCAACGTCACCTCCAACTGACCCTCTGCCAGCATAAACTTCGCAACCTCCCTTGCTTTTGCCACATAGGAGGCCACTCCTGGCCCTTCGATTTTAATTCTCCCACTCCTCAGGATGCCTCCCAAGGACTCGTTGCCAATCACCCAACCATCTTCGAAGGCACGCACCAGGTCGTCTTTAAGTTTCTTCGGCAGCAGCCTCGCGGCATCCTTGTAGATGACCGTGACAGTACGCTCCTTCAACCACTTAACCTTAATTTCATCCAATGAGGTATTCAACCTGAACCTTACTTCCCTACCATCTACCACCATCTCCCTGGGTCAATCTCCGTGGGGTAAACCCCGTCATCGAAGCACATGGCCAGGAGACTTCTTATCCTGTCCTCATCCTCCCAGAAATTTGTCTCCTCATGTGGCGCAGGAGGAGGGGATATCCCCGCTCCTTCCCGGCCTGGTGTATTCTCCATTCCCGTGCTCTTGATTCCCTTCTTCTAACCTCCTATCACCCAGCTTCTGCTCGTCTGCTACCACACCTATTATCTCAGTCCACTACGTCTGGTGCGGGGCGCTCCCTCTGTCAGTCGTCCCAAAACCTATGGCTAGGATGTCGCCATATCCGCCCTTCGATGAGGACGCTCGGTGAGACGAGTCCAGGGCGATAGCTCGATGGTACCGTCTTGGAGTACAGCTCGGGTTCTGCCGAACCCGGTAACGCTTCGACAGAGCGCTTAGCGCCGGCCGAAGCAAGGTCGCGCCCCTTCTTGTGTTCTGTTTGGGCATCGCCACATCACTCTCGAAATGTGCAAAATGAGGATGAACTTCCCGTTAGAACATGGCCCGATGCAGCCATCACGTTTTTGCCGTTTCCACATTTCGAGAGTGATGTGGCGAGGCCCTTTGTTTCCTTTTTTTTTTTTTTTTTTTTTTTTTTTAAAGGTAAGCTATATTCTTCTCTCATCTATCTCATTTTTCTTGATAGTACGCATCTATCTCATCCTCTCACTATTCTATATATAGTATGGAGGAACACCAACCAACCTGGATCCCTCCCCAGCCCACAGGGTAGGTTGGCACCACAACTGTGGTGCGAGGGCAAGGCTGTACTAGTCCCTCATCACGGTGATGCAATGTTCTGTGAAAGTTTCATCCAGCGGCCTAGCTCAGTTGGTAAGGCACTCAAGTCGCATTCAGGAGGTTTTGGGTTCAATCCCCATTGGCCTCATGTACCTTCCTGGGCAAGCCCAATCCCCATTGGCCTCATGTACCTTCCTGGGCAAGCTTGGCGCGCACCACCTAGAAATAGGTTGTTGGTCCCCCTGAGTGGCATTGAGCAGAGAGACTGCTGATGTTCATAGTAGAAGGGGACCAGAGGGGAAGCACAGAGACTAGCCCATTGAAGATGACCCCAGATGATCCGTCCTGATCCTACCGGCTGACCCCTGGCCAATATCGCCCACCTGCTGTACTGGGTATCGCACCTGCTGGTGGGTGCAGCTCCCGCATGTTCCCTCGTTGGAGGCTTGAGCACGGATGTGGCTGCTATGGGGTTCCCTGTAATATTATCGTGACAATAAAACAAGGCCTAAGTGGCCGTCCTGTCCGGATTCGACAGGTAATTGAATTGGTTGGGCTCACAAGAATTAGCCTTGGAAAAAAAAAAGGAAAAAAAAAAAAGTTGAAGTTTGAGCTAAGAAAAAACTTCTGTGAATCTCACAGGGCGGTCTTTCTTTTTTCATTTTACTATGATTTTAGCGGATAAAAAAAAAAGAAAAAAAAGAACAGCTGGCTGCATCCTACCTGCAGGTGGGCAACACGGTAGAAGGGTCAGCCCGTAGCATCAACGGCCATGCACTTTACGAGTACGGGTCAGCCAGTAGCATACAGGACCAGGCATTATATCAGTCCCTGCACCTTCCCTCCTGTCCCCACCCCCTACGAACATCAGCAGACGGAGGGCCCCAACGGGCTACCTCTAGATGGGGGACACCAAGTAATAAGCCAACTACCGGCCAGAGCTCAACCAGTAGCATCGGGAACCTTACATTTTTACAGTCCAGCACCTTTCCTCTGATCCCCTCCCCCTACGAACATCAGCAGTGTCTGCCAACTGAAACTACCTGCTGACCGGGGGCCCCCCAACAGGCTACCTCTAGATGGGGCACACCAAGTATGCCGAGCAAATTACATGCCCGTGAGGCTTACGGGGCTTTAAGGGCTCGTTCCGTACCACTATTAAATTCTTGAAACTCAAGGAAGCATGGTTCTACTCCTTCCTAATGACAACTGCAGACATTTTCACATGTTATCTTTCAAGGGATGACCTTGGAACTCAAGGGCTGGCCCTTGAAACTCAACGGAGCTAGGGGCAAAACCACCCTTGAACTCAAGGGAGCTCTGAGAGGTTGCCTTCAGTTTCGAGGGCGGAAACTCGCCATGCTGCTCACCAAACAAACAGGGGCTCGCCACGACACTCACTAAACAAAAAAAGTGATAAAGTGCAGTTGTTTCCAGGATCGCTTTAAACCACCAGTACCTGGCCCAAATATCGGCGGTGGAAAAAAATAGAGTAGAAATGTTTCTACTCGGATGAATATGGACACTCTTGTAGTGGCCCATATGTTTCTTGAAAACCACCAGTACCTCCTAAAGTTGTGTTCGTTAACTAGCCACGATTTTAGGAAATGTACGGGCCACTGCATGAGCGGCAAATTTCATCCGACTATAAATGTTTGTACTCTATTTTTTTGCTGCGACCGATAGTTGGGCCAAGTACTGGTGGTTTAAGGGCACATGGAACGGGAACAAGAGTTAGGGCAAATTAAACCACCAGTACTTCCTGAAGTCGTACCTGTTAAACCACCAGTACTCGGCCCAACTATCAGTCGTGGAAACCACCAGTTGTGCCCGTTAACAAGCCAAGATTTCAGGAAACGTACGGACCACTGTAGGAGCGACCAAATTCATCCGACTATAAATGTTTGTACTCTATTTTTTTCCCGCGACCGATAGTTGGGCCAAGTACTGGTGGCTTAAGGGCACATGGAACGGGAACAAGAGTTAGGGCAAATTAAACCACCAGTACTTCCTGAAGTCGTACCCGTTGTCAGCGCGAATACCCTGACGAGGGTATCCGCCCTGGGTTTTTGCAAATGATAAAAGGGCCGTTGGTTCAGACTTTTTCGAGTGTTCACACATGGTCAGGGCGGTTGCTTGCGTATGGGCCAAAGCTGTCTAAATAGGTGGGTGAGTGGGCGCGCAACTTTAAGGCGCGCGTGTGATTCTACCATTTTGATCGTATTACCGGCATGGATGTCCGACCTGATTTTGCATTACTGATTAGGCTAAGGATTAGCAGATTGACCCTCGTTTGCCGTGCTTGACCGGCCGTAGGTCTGGTATGTGGTTTAGTACGAGGGACGGCCATGACAAAGTTGGGGAGGCCGGCATGAGAACCTAGCGGCCGCACGCCTGTTTGTAGGTAGAGGTGAGGCCCGAGGTATTTCCTCAGCATTAAGCACTGGGCCGCACCACCTTATATAGGATTCAGTGCCTGTTGGTTCCAGGCTTGGGCTTAGCCCTATAGGTTACGACGTTGGACTTGTGAGACAGAGGTGCTGGGGTCGAGGTCGGCGGGTGGCAGCGTAGGAACATCGGAGCGTTGAAGGAGCTAAGGGGTTGAGGGTCCTGCGGGACTATCCCCTTTGGTTTTGCTGGGGGAGTCCGAGCGCGGGCCTGCTTGTTTCAAAATTTTATTGATTTTATTTCCTTTTGGCCGGTGTCGGTTCTGAGACCGACCGTGGCTGAGAGCTTGACTCTGAGGGTGTACCACTGAGCTATTGGGGCACAGGCCGGTATTTGACTCCCGACGAACGGAATGGATGAGTAAAACCGAGAGTCTTGGTCCACCACATCGCGATGGGCCGGCATGTGGCTCGTCCTTCGGGACATTCGTAAACATTAGAGCGGTACAAAGAAGGCTGGCATGACCCTGTGCAAGGCTGACGCACATAAATTGAGGTTGAGTTTTCTTTCTTCGATTGATTTGGCCTTGCTGGGTGTTGTTACTCTCGACCGTAGTACGTTATTCGGCAGCCAAGCGCTAATCTTGGTTGACTCCAACACGAGGAGGGAGACGGGTCAGAGAGAATGAATGAGGTAACGAGGTGAAAGTGGGTGAGGAGGAGAACGGTGGCTATCACATAGCAAGGTAGGCAGCCATCGCTGCCGTAACTATGGGAGTAGTGTGGGTTGTGTGAATGCAGAATACACTATGTGGGATAACCAGGGTGGTCTGTAGGTGCGAGTGAGCACGAATCGTAATTTGAGTACAACGTTGGGTTGGGAGTTGTGGCACTGTGTGCCATAGCCCTCTGATGAGGGTCTGTAGTCGAGCAGGGATCCAAACTGTCGCATCTTTGGGCTCGGAGTTTTGAGCGCTAGTCGCCAGATTGTATTTCCCGTTCGCGTATATGTGGAGCAAGTGAGGGAGTAAGGCTGGTTGCATCAACATCAGAGCAGGTAACCGCTAGCCCAAGCGCCAAGGAGCGCCGTCGCGGAGGAAGTCTGCCATAGTTGCGCTAAGGAAGCGGGATCTGTACCTGCGCACAAGGCGATAGTGAACGTGATCGGGTTCAGCGCCAAGGTACACTCAAGAAAAGAGAGAGAGCAGTTAGCTTATCTCGGTCGTATTTTTACCGAATTCGTCGAACAGAGGGTCAAAATCGGGGTTTTAGGGACGGGTGAATAGGATTATGAAGTTAGTTTAGATAAAAGTTAGTAAACTAGAAGATAAGGAGGAAAATGACTGCGCGGATATGCCTGAGAGAAACGAAGACGAAGGGAGGATGAGCATATTCCCCTTGATCCTTAGTAGTTTTGAGCGAGAGAGGATTCGAGTTTGAGGTTTTTAGGCTTGGCGACTTCGATTCTGAAGTCTAAATTAGTATAAGGTTAGTAGGGAAGAAGTTAGTATGAAGAGGGAGTGTCGGGAGAGAGAGGGATGATGGAGGCAAAGGCTCGTATCGCAAGCGAAGTGAACAAAGACTCGGGTTCAGGGTTTGCATGCATGGCGAAACCGAAAGTGGCGTCAGGTTCCTCGCTTGAGTAGTAAGCCAGCCTACATCGGTGGAAGGCGTGAGACTAGGCGAGAGGCTGCGGATGTCTCGTTGTGTGTACACCCGTGAAGAAGGTGTGTTTCCCGATTATCTGCTAGGAGGTTCACTTCGGTTTGCTTGTCCGGCCAAGGAAGAAAAGGGGAGTGGCTTCGTCTTAGCAAGGGACTGGGGTCAGTTTGCCGAGAGCACGGCCAGTCTCGATCGGGTTTTCTCTTCGGGTGTGCTTGATCAGGCGAGCGGCTCGATTCGAGTATGGGCGTTCCAGACAGTGTAGCAGTGGCTTAGTTGGGAGATGAGCAGCAGTACGGCTTGGGGTTGGGACGGGTCAACATCTGCGAGGAAGGGGCGTGTGGGTCGGTGCCTGCGCACACTCAGCTCACGTTACGGCAAGGGAGGCTGCTGCGGATTAGCAGTACGCCGGCTGCTATGGGCTGCTTAGTGTTGATTATCGCGCCACCTGACGATGTACGGATTGTTACAGGCGCTCGAAGCACCAACATCAAAGAGGTCGATGTGCCACAGTTGATTGAGCATTGCTGATGACGTCATGCATCGCTGTTGCATTTGACCAAGGCTA